TTTGTCCGCATGCCCTTTGGCCTTCGCAACGCAGCCCAGACATTCCAACGCTTCATTGACCAGGTAGTTTCAGACCTTCCCTTCTGCTTTGCATATCTGGATGACTTGCTCATTGCTAGCGCCTCACCCGCTGAACATATGGCCCACCTTCGCTGCATATTCTCCCGCCTTGCTTCACATGGCATCTTGATCAACGTCCGGAAGTCGCAGTTCGGCCAGGATGAGCTTGACTTCCTGGGACATCACGTGACTGCCTCAGGTATCCGACCTCTCGACGCTCGCATGACCGCCATTCGTGAATTCCCACAGCCAGCTAGTGTTCGTAAGCTCCGTGAGTTCATCGGCTTCGTCACGTTCTATCACCGATTTCAGCCACATCTTGCTGCTAAGCTCGCACCTCTGCACGCTATGCTTGAGAAACGCCACCGCACCAAAGGCGCGCTCGTCTGGTCCGACTCGGCCATCGCTGCTTTCAATGATGTCAAAGCTGCGTTCACTGAGGCCATCACACTTCACCATCCTCGCCCGGATGCCGCCTACAGCTTGATGGTCGACGCTTCAGACATTGCTGTTGGTGCCGTCCTCCAACAAGAGCTAGATGGTGAGTGTTATCCTGTTGCCTTCTTTTCACGCAAGTTAAAGCCTGCTGAGACACGCTACAGCACCTTCTGTCGAGAGCTCCTCGCTATTTACCTAGCCATTAAGCATTTCCGACACTTCCTGGAAGGGCGTGTCTTCCATGTGTGCACCGATCACAAGCCTCTGACACATGCCATCCACAGCCGTTCACAGACCCACAGCCCGCGTCAACAGCGCCATTTGTCGTACATTGCTGAGTTCACGACAGATATTCGTCATGTCAAGGGTTCTCAGAATGCTGCCGCTGATGCACTGTCACGATGCCACCTACCCGATGAGCCCGTCTCTGCCATCACTGCCATTGACACAGCTTCCTTTGCCGCCGCTCAACAAGATGATCCAGACTTGCCCAGTCCTGGTAAGGATCCATCCACTTCGCTATGCTGGCAATCTATAGCTCTGCCCATGACTGATCACTCGCTCATCTGTGACACCTCTACTGCGTCTGCCCGCCCGTATGTACCTGCCAAGCTGCGCCGTGCTGTTTTCAATTCGCTTCACGGCCTCTCCCACCCTGGTACCCGCGCTACCAGGCACCTGATTACAGCTCGCTACGTCTGGCCCGCGATGAACAAGGATATTAGTGAGTGGTGTCGTTCCTGCCACGCTTGTCAGCAGTCTAAAGTTCAGCGCCACACCACATCTCCCGTGAGTGCATTCAAGCAACCTGATGCCCGTTTCTCCCATGTCCATGTCGACATCGTAGGCCCGCTTCCATCTTCTAGTGAGTCTCGCTACCTCTTGACGATGGTAGATCGCTTTACTCGCTGGCCCGAAGCAGTACCTATTCCCGACATTACAGCCGAAACCGTCGCTCGCCAGTTTGTTGCCACCTGGGTCGCCCGATTTGGTGTTCCCACTGTGCTCACAACCGACCGAGGTGCCCAATTTGAGTCATCCCTGTGGTCATCGCTCATGTCACTACTTGGCACATCTCGCATTCGTACAACGGCTTACCACCCTGCTGCCAACGGCATGGTAGAGCGCTTTCACAGACAACTGAAAGCTGCACTCCGAGCTTCCGACAATCCACAGCGCTGGACGGAACATCTGCCACTAGTCCTGCTCGGCATTCGCTCCTCCCTGAAGGCTGACCTCAACTGCTCAGTTGCAGAAATGGTCTACGGTTGCCACCTCCGCCTGCCAAGTGATTTCCTCACTGACGAGCCTGAGCCATTTCCGGATCCGACGTCCTATGTCAGCCGCCTCAAACAAGCCATGTCCGAGCTCCGCCCTACACAACCCCGCAAGCCACCCACCCAGCATCCGTTCATTCCAGCTGACCTCTCGACATGCTCTCATGTCTTCATTCGCACAGATGCAACACGAACGCCCCTCCAACGTCCTTACACTGGTCCACACCGAGTCCTGGAACGTCATGATAAGTACTTCCGCCTCGACCTCAACGGCCGCTCCGACACAGTATCCATCGACCGACTCAAACCCGCATTCCATGACAACCAGTCTGTCGACCATTGCCATCCGACCAAGCCGACGCCATCGCTCGCATTCGACGTGCCTCCGCCACGCCAAACACGAGCTGGTCGTCAAGTCAGATTTCCCGCCTATTTCTGACACTCTCTCGCTTATCCCATTTGCTTGCTCTCACTTTATCGCGCTAGTTATCGCTCATTACTCATTCACTAGGAGGGGAGCTCTGTAGCGTCTCTGACGTTCTCGCATCATGACATCATCAATTGTTTGCATGTACACGTCATATTTTCCTCATCATCACAAACACTGATTCACCATACTCTCGCACACATTGTAATACCTACTACACGTACTTCTCTACCATAATAATTACGTAATGTTTGGCTAGCATAGTTCCAATCCACATTACGACATCTTTTGATGTTACGCACTCCTCGCCTACAACGCTATTGTAGAAAAGTAGTCTTTACTCATCTCTTGTAAGTTCTGTTTGCATCCAAACACTTCTTCCAAACAGCACACGTCAGATATCTAACAAAACAACAAACTTCATTGCACAGTCTTCTATCACAATCTCTTTCCTATATAAACCTCCTTTCTCTTCACTTTCTTCATGACATTTAGTGTTCGCCAGTCTTGTAAAGATCTTGGAAACTAACACTCGTTGCACTGTATCTAGACTACTAAACTAGCATTGAGACAGAATATATAAACTGATGATCAATGTGTAGAACTCTATCCTGATGTTGTCAGGTTTTGCACGCAATAATAGCACAGCACATCTCACAAGCTAGGGGCCTGCCCGAAAACAATCAGTGGCTAGACATTTCCAAAATACATGTTTCATTCGTGTTGGGTTTAACTATTCACTATACTGATACATGTTGATGATTGTCCCTCGCTTTGCCCGTACAAGAGGCCTTTTCCACCAAATTACATGTTGAATTGGCTTTTGATGTGCGCGTTCAATTACGGCTCGAATCGAATCAATTAGCCAGGTCTTGCGCATTGCCACTGGAGGTAGTCGTGACAGGTGTTGACTGTATTTCAGTCGCATGGCTAGACGGCGCACATCCTCCCCATGGCCATGTCTAAAACAACGTCTGAAATCCTCAGTGCATACACATAATGTCATTGATTTGGTCTGCTGTCGGTAACAGCACTCGCCCGGACTGTCAGCTGCTGGCAAAACACATTCTGTTTGTAGTGGAGGTCGATGGCAACTAATACGTGTACAATAGGGTATGATTACGAACCGCGACGTTTTCAAAAGAAAAGAAACGAGGCGTCAGACAGCTGTCCAGGACTTGTAGGACACGCTTCGCTCAGCTAACCTGGAGAGGTTCAAACGTGTTCCGGCACAGGGCTCCTGGAGTGCTCAGCTGTCAACCAACCGTCCACTCTGTGGAGAGTCAGATACACCGACCCTTCGCCATACATGAACTTCTTGTATCGTACGCCGAATCATGTACATGTACAATGTACATAAGTCATTGTACTTTGTAGCAATACACGCAGTACCGCTTCTTCCGTTGAATACTAATCATTAATTTTATCATGCTTTGTATTGATTTCGATCAAGGCCAGGGAGAGTACAATAGTATCGAGCATTTCAATTTTCTACTTCGAGCCAGAATACTGCAGAACAGTAACAACGGTAACCACGGGTAATTAGTACTTTGATTTAAAAAATAGAAGAACAACACGAGAACGCTGGCGGCGAACCACAGAGACAGATACATCAGTAATAAATAAAATTTTACTGTTAGTAAAACATGCTATAAAGACGCGCTTGGCTATTTTCATGGCCAGTCGTTATGTCGCCTTCCCTGTGCGCGTGTGTGTGTGCGCGCATGTGTGTAATTATTTGTGTGGATCGAAATGCCACTGGACGGTGAAATAAAATAAAATAAAATAGAATAATAAAATTTAATGCTGAGTTGCAAGTAAATAAAAAAAATACTAATTATTTACATGTAGTACATAATGACATTGTAATTTTGTAGTACTGTTGCACATGCGGTCCTGCACAGCTCAGATTATGACGCACTTAGACATCTGTAGCTGGATCGCTGGCACAGGCACAGACGCAGTCACTGCAGCCATGATCAATCCCATGGGAGGATCAGGCACCACGCGCAGTCTCATCCACATTCACCTGCCCTTCTCTTCGTTTCGTTGCGGGAGGTTTTCTCCGTGTGCTTTCGGTTGTCAGCAACTGGCACTTTCAAAAGCACGTGAAACAACACAGCTCTGCATGAGGTGCGAAAATCACGTGGACAGCAAAAGATGGAAAAATCCATCAACGGGACTCGGTATTAGAACCATACTCCAACGATATACATGTACATTGTACATCTAGCAGTATTCAATAATGATTATAAAGACACACACACGCGCACATACACACACGGGCACACACACACATACACACACACGCACACACACATACACACACACACACACACACACACACACACACACACACAAAGCACAAAGCACCACACTAGGTGTGTGAGAGATGGAGAACTCGACGCTAGAATTACATAGAACTAAAAAGACTGTGTCATGGACAAAACAACTCGTCATCTACCATCATCATAATTCCGTCTCAGTTCCGCAGTGCTTGGACTCCGACTTCCGCAACAGCACCTGCTGGTCTTGCGTCCATGCCTTTGCCATTCACAAAGTCCAACTCTGGTGCCGCGTTGGCGTGTACATCTGGTCATTTCCCCTGGCTCTGTGGAGCCAATAGCCTTGCTGATACAATGTAGGGCTTTCTCCAACCAATTAGGCACGTCAAATACTTAACTACTAGTACATACATCACTAGTAGTAGTTTGCGTGGTTGCGTGCCCAGAACCCCACCCGCCTGGCATTTGGCCATACAGTATCTGCACACAGCACTCTCCAGTCCTCATCATTACTATAGGTGTGCCCAGCAAGGGGCCAAACATTCTCCAGCTTGAATGTGGATCAATATAGATAGAATATCTGTCAATGGTATTGGTAGTAAAACTTGTAAAGGAGTCAGGATTTTTCAAGGTCGATATGTTATTATTATAGTGGCAACAAAACGGAACATCCAAGATATGAAGTAATGAGTTGTTCACATAGTCTAGAACGGAATAATTCAATTTACAAGACCATGTTTCGCGATGGAGAAGCATAGAAATGAATCTATAGTATAGGCAGAATTCAGTGTGGGTAGAGTGCCGGTTTGTTAGGATAGTTCAAGAATAGGATCCAGCAAACCAGTGGCTTGTTTACAGGGCTGTACATCTCGCCTTGGTCTGCGGGGCCTCAACAAGCTCCTTGAGTACGGTCTTAGTGACTGTATTCTCAGTGATCTCAGCCGGTGTGCGTCCGAATGCATCTCGGTGTTGCAGATCAGCGCCGGCCTTGCTGAGCAGGCGCAGAATACGATGATGGCCGCTGATGGCTGCAGCGTGCACTGGTGTCCAGTCATCTTTGTCTGGCTGGTTGGGAAACGCGCCATGCGCCAGAAGCAACTCGACGCAATCTGTCGCACCGGAGAAGCAGCACAAATGTAGCGGGGTGATTCCCTGATGGTTGGCCCGGTTCACACCCAACTCCTCGGGTTCACGTAGAGCGCTGATGTCGAGATCCTCCAGGATAGCTTGCAGCTCTCCGAATCTGCCCTGTTGTACCGCAGTCCACATGAGCACGCTCGGATGGAAGGTCAGCGAACGCTTCGGTCTGGAGGTTGTGTGGGTTTTCCTCTTCAGGATGCTACGGGGTGACTGTGCTGAGGCGCTGGAGGAGTCGCTTGCTGGTGCAATGTCGGACGAACGAGACTCCAGAGACTCAGTGGATGTGTCAGATGTTAGCGAGGAAAACGAGGAGTCGGAGCAGATTGATGTCCGCTCACCGAATCCGGTCATGGGGAGCAAGTCACCAGTGGATCTGCACATGATGCAGGAACCAGTTGTGGGAGATGCGCAGGGGCTTACAGAATCATCCACAGGACCCATGTTGTTCTTGAAGAAGAAGAAGTCGTTTGTTACCAACTTTCGAAAAGGCTTGGGAGTAGTTTACTCGAAATACCTTGCAACGCAAATTAGAACTGTTTGATTATTCGCCGCGTAGTTTGTCAGCTTTTATACTCTCTGGCGTGTCGCCCTCCCACATGGTCCGCATGTTGATCTTGAGTGCCTGTGAGATCTGAAGAGCTAGCTGGGCATGCGGTGCATGCAGTCATCTTCGCGATCTCCCCATGGCCCACTGCATGCACTGACCGATGAGTGACAGGTTGCATGATATCCGCGTGGCTGCTGCCTAGCCGGACTCACACTCGCCGCCTCGGGCTCCGACCACCTGAGCCTATCATGATCAGCGCTGGTCTGTACTGCTGCTGCACTCCCAGGGAGGCCTGTCTGTGTGCATGCACGGATGGTCATGAATGGCAGTCACGCTCAGTGAGCTGATACAAGAGGTCCGGTGCAAGAACACTGTGGCCAGGCGGGTCCACTCAGTATCACTTCGCGTAGGCTTCAGTGACTCATTTCAGAATCAGAGCCTCTGCCAGTCTGCCTCCGCTGATCGATGCCCCAGATCAGACCGAAGCGCACCTTCCCTGCATGTCCAATCCAGTTTATCGTGAATTTCTGTCGCCGAGTTAGGTGTCAGGGCCGAGATGCATCGCGCTCTGCAGCAAGTTCATGTCACCCGACTGCACAGCGAACGCTGGACATGGGCAAAGTTGCCAATAGCAATCACTCCAGGTGCTAGGTGAACGATTCTGTTCAGCTAGCACTTGTGAAGCAATCCCCCAAGCGACTTCGTGCCAAGGTACAACAAAGTGGAAATCCCACTGCATTGGAATGTTTACACTCGACTTTAGAATTCACTGCAAGTGTCCCTGGCTGTGGCAACAACAATCAATCCCCTTTGAGTAAATCTTTTCTATAGCCTAATTGTTGATCTACAATACCTATTATATGTAGCTGTTACGGTTTTATAACACCAGTGCTAACAGTGGTCACAGGGATATAACCATTTGCAGCGTCCAGTAGTGAGCAAACACACACGCATTCAGCACCATCCGTGGCGTGCATCTACATGTAAAAAGGAACCCATTCTTGTTGAGAAGATCACTCCCAGAATCAACACGCGTTTTCGATAAATTCCGCTTCCTTCTCCTCTCCCTCCACAAATAGGTGATAATCTCACCAGGTTAGAAGCGCTCCCTGCAACCCCCATTGCAGCCAGAACTTCGCTCATACGCCTCAGCCCTCAGGCCTGGTGTTCGAATACTTCCAAGCACCACTGGATGTGAATATGGGTGCGAGTGTTTTAAACTGAAACAAGTAATTTACATGTACGTGTAGTTGTGATATGTGGTCTTACACGGCGCACTGACCCGGAATGAACTCTGTGGCCATCTGTCTCCAACATGATCGACACAATTCGGATTGGCTTCCTTCCAGTTAGCAATAAAGTCATGTACATGTACATGTACATGTACATTCTGGCTTTTCAATACTGTAATGCATGCAATTGGAGAATGGCTCACAAAACTACCCTCGCTATTCCGATATACTAGTATTCATGTATACAGTAGGGTTACCTGTACAAGTACAAGTACAACAGAGAGGTTCCAGGCTGTCCAAGAGAGTGCTCAATACCGAGTGGTAGAGCTGGTTCAAACAATAGGAGGACAGAGGAAGTGTTTTTACTCAGAGTTTCACGCACTAAGCGAGCATCAGAAAACACTGTTTTCTGATGCTCGCTTAGTGCGTGAAACTCTGAGTAAAAACACTTCCTCTGTCCTCCTATTGTTTGCAAGTACAAGTACATGTATACAGCCTTAAAAGTCGTGTTTTATTACAGCGTGATTTGTGAACCAAAGCAATGTTACTTTTAGTATAAGTACATGTATACGAATTGTGTAATCCAGGGATAGCTTGCTGTTATTCTTGAATATTTGTCGCGTGTCGGCCGGTTCCAGTTGTGCCGCAAAACTATGGCATGGCTCACAACATTGCCCATGGTGTCACTGCACAAGGGACTTGGCTGTTGACTGCCAAGAACCAAACTGTCCACAGCACATAAGCCATAACGTGCCCTCCATGGATATGAGATCACTATGGCATAATGCGTCTGACACTGCAAAGCCACACGCCTAGTTTGTCATACAGATGACACAGCGCACCTGTTTCACACAATACTGCTATCGAGCTTGTTTATTTCAGAGCTGTCCAAAACTGGTTGGCGAGTGCTTGTGCGAATCTCCTTGGAGGAACTTGATTAGAAGTAGAACTACGAAAATCGAGAATCACGGATCGAGAGAGCCTACTTTCTACTATAGAGGGTGCAGCGACATTACATCCTAAGGCTAAAGATGTGACAACTCCTCGAAAGGTGGTATTCGAGAACGTCACATCTTGTTTGGTCTGTTAAAAAATTAAGAACCATTGCTGGATGGATGCAGAAACTGCATTGTGGAGCTCGCACATTCAGAATCCACTTGCAGATTCTAGCTAAGCGCAATGACTACAACCATGTACCGTCATGTAAATTGTACATGATTGTAGAAGTAAGACTTGGTGATGATCAGGTCAGGTCGAGGGTAATCAAGGAATATTTACAATTATTTCCTCTCAGCAAGGATCAAAACTGCAACGGCACAAGCGTGGTTATACCCTCTACATGTACCGCTAGTATCCCACCCATGACCATGATGACTCCTTAGGTCTGAACTGATCTACGCACACGTTGTACCATTATCATGCTGGAAGTAACAGTAACTAGTGTAGTTACTTTGAAGAAAGTACAAACCCACTAGGGCAACATGCACATTCTAGACTGTATGCACATCATCAAACTCGTTTCCCTGTAATTTGAGCTGCTGAAATGTACATGTAGGTAGTTTTGTCGCTGACATCCAAATCAACTCAGCTGTGACATACAGGAATGAGAGGATGAGGTTATAATGGCAATGGCGATTCGAACATTCACCGTTCCACTGGGTTAGATTAATACTTCAGTGCGAGCAATTATTATCGTTCAACCAGCCAATTGAAAACTGAAGTGTTCGATGTATTGTCCTGAGAGTGATTACTAGTATCTCGGATCACTGTATCATACAGGAAGGCGTTGTCACTAATGTCAGTGTAGTAATGAACGTACTCTGCATGAGGGTGCCTGGGGAATGATCTACTACTAGTCTAGTACCTGAGACAACTAACTGTTACTGAATGTAATTACTATCAGCATACGGCGTAGTCCTGACTCCTGTGCAATCACTCACGGTGTGCTTAGCATTGACGTCGTAGTGAAGCACACACCCTGTCCCACATACATGTACTACTGAGTTGCCACATGCACACGGCTGGAAAAGGCACTTTTCAACATGTGGAGACTGGAGACATTAATGTCAATGATGCCTTGCGGTGGACATAAGGGTACGTTTACAGTGAGTTCGTATGAAGAGCTAAGCACTTGACTTAGCAAGGATGTTCCAAGTGACGCAAAGTGTGCCCACCATCCACTTCAAGATCAGCCCTCCATCCAACTGTAACGTGTGCCCACAACGGCACAAATGCTCTGCTCCAGAAGGATGCCCCAGTGAACGCCTAGGCAAACATGCCCACGTAAGAGATACATGCACATGATTGTATATACTGAAGTACGTGCACTTGTGCAGCTTTAGTGGACCATGACCATGTTTCCCCATCCCCGCATACAGCTGACCAGCCCCCAACCATCCCTGCAGTCATAACCTCTCCGAGCATTAGTTCAAGAGGCTTTTCATGATTAGTTCTAGCAAGAGTGAACTCTGCCATAGTTCATTGCCTTCATGATTATATCTTACTGCGCTATTCTTGGCGATTGGTTGGGCTTCATTTGATTTTCAATACCAAAATTCATGTACATGTACATGACTGTACATTTAAACAGGGTTCTGGCTGATGCAGATCGAGCAAGCGACACACACTGACAATCGATACCCACAAAGGCGAATTGGACGTTGGCTATCTAAGTTTGCACTGTTCCCTCAATGACTGCTGGTAAGAGTACCATCATGTACATGTACATGTAGATCTACAGTTCTCTCGCGACACGACCTTCTGCTTCAGGGCGGACACAGTACAGTGACACAGGTCTCCGTTGAAATATCATTCTGGAGGTGGACACGTACATATACATATACCGCCGGTACAACTACCATTATACACATGTACTGTAGTTCTGAAGTGAAGCAACCATCTGCCCGGTGTCACTATTCCGACTGTTACATGTGAAGCCGAGACCTCTGGTCGGCTGAGCTTAATCAATAATAATGGGCCCCACCACCATACTCCATGATTCACCCCAGTGTCTGGAGATACATGTACATGTACATGTACAGTGTATGTGGATTTTGTAGACAAAAATAGAAAAACAATTCAAACATGCTTGGGAAACACAACCAGACATCTCGGGAGACACATTATCTGAACGGTTTTGCAACACTGCGATTCGAGACACAATAATTGGAAGTTCAGTAGATGTACCACGGACACGCCCTAACATCAAAACAAGATGGCGAAGGACTGTGCCTCGTCAGCTGGCAATTCATGTATATGTACATGTATACATGTACTAGTACATGTATACATGTAGATTTCACATTTTTCGTTTCAAGTTTCCAACGATTTACTAAAAAAATTATCATTCCATCTTCAATCCTTCACTTACATCGTCGACAATTGCTGGTATGCACAGGGAGAAGACGGTAGAATATAATGTACCTGTACATGTACATGTTGTACCAGCCAGCCATCTTGACATTCCTATCCATTTGGTGAAAGGAAAACCCAAGTGGGAGAAACGCATTTTTGATCCGACAAAGAGTCCAGTGTCCATCCGTTCGATGACGTCCATGGCAACCGCGAGCATACCGTAAAGGCACCTGTATGTACCATAATCGCTCTACAGTCTACACGCACTGCCTACATGTAAGCATAGGGAATGTTTAAAAGTGCTTTGATGGAGCCATTAATGTAGGAAAGGTTGTAACGTCGCAGATGATTGCGAGCTATGGACCGCGGGGAGGACGCAGGTGCTGGGTCACACAGTATTGCGCACTGCG